AAAAAATGCTATTAAATTGTTCTAAAAAATTTATATATGTTGATTTTATAATTATTTGTCAATCATTTTGGCCAAAGAAAAATCATATTTTAAAATTTTTAAAAATTTTGCAACAATATTAATTATTATATATATATATTTTAAATTAAAATGATCTTATCTAGATCAAAAGAACTAAAAACATATTTAATAAAAAATAAACATCAGGTAATTTGCACAACTAATAAGGTTGTAAAATTCGAAGAAAGAGATGAAAAAAACTCAACTAATAAGGTTGTATGATAGTAAATATATTTCAACTACAATGGATACTTTAAAATAAAAAAAAAAACAATGTTTAAAATAAAAAGAAAAGTATTGTTTTTAAAGCCCAAGGCCCAAAGGTAAAACAAAAAGGCAGCCCAATGCAACACCCTGTATCTTCTTCTTCATCCCTTTCACGCTCTCTGCAATTCTGAACCAGCGGCGGAAGCAGTTCAACAGTTCATCCCCAGGCCGTGTCCGGTTCAAACTTACCGTGTCCAACCCATATTTCATACCCGTACCCGTGTCATGTCGTGTCGACACGGGTATGGTGGCCAAAACACCGAGTCCGAGCAACATAGTAGGAAGTAAGGTTTATATTTTCTTTCTAACTTTTGGTTTCCTTCTGTATTGATTATTCTACGTGCACATTTCAGAAGACAGTTATTGCAAGCAAGACTGGTGGAGGAACCTGAATAACCGTTGTCTTTATTCAACAGTAAGATATGCTTCTAGGTATTTTTATATGCTTGGTTTCCATGCACTTCTATTTTTCTAAATGCTGCATGTACCTCCCTGTACATAAGATTCTGATGTTCCCTTCTCTTTTTCCCTTTTCAAGTTGGCAGTTTATATTAATTACGTCTTGTTCCCTTCGTACCATTTTCCAACAAAACTTTTTTTCCCCTCTGTGTGACAGGATTAAGGTGAGCATCTCATTTTTGCACTTTCATGCTGCATCCATCAGTCTAGAGTAACTTATTGAAGTTTATCAGTTTCAGGAAACTACTTAGTGTCAACTTGTGATCCACTTCAATTTGAGATAATCAGCAAAAGTGGCCTAAAACTTAGACCAATCATTGTGCTTATTTCAAGATATCAGAATGTTGCTTCTTCTTTTTCCATTTTTTCCCTTTTTAATCCAAAATAAGAAGGGAGCATTGCTATGTTTAGATTTTATAGGTTTTATTAAATAGCAAAGCTTTTCTGACATCTCAGGCTTTTAATAGCCACAAAAATATATTTGCATTTGTATATTTTATTCGTTTATGTTTATGTTTGAATATCCAGAAAATGTGTGTTAAAATCAGGAGTTCCAATTTTTCACAAAAAAATTGTTCATTCTCTAGAATCAGGAGAGAAGAATTAAGGATATGTGCTAAATGATTTCCAGTGTCATGTTGCATTTTAGAAGCAGCATTATCTTATATAAGAATTTGTTTTTTTGCGTAATTTCTATACCGTTTATATGTGAAGAGTTAACATATGTCTGCACTTATAAAATCTTCAAAATAATCGATTGCTTGGTTAGAGTGTTTGAAAATTCAGTTTTTAAATTTGGTTTAGTAGTTAAACATTTTCAGCAGTTTACACCGTGTGCGCACGCGGAGAATTTTTTTTATTTCCCAGTGATAGTAAACTTGTGTTTGGCAAATATGCATTATCCTTAGCAAGGGCTAATTTTTATGTATAGGATAATGAAGCGAAAGTTTTTTTAGTAAGAATACACTACCTATTTTTTATTCTGCACTATTGTTTTAATTACCAAATCCAAATTCTTCCAATAGGGGGAGATGTTTTCAGAATACTGAGGATATGGAATAAAGATTTTACAAAATTATGAACCATAAGGGGGAGATGAATTGCATTTTAGATATTGTGAGAGAGAAGGATTTTCTTACTAGCCATTCTTCTCAATTCTTCTTGTTTCTTCTAGCGTAGGTGAAACGGATTGGGCGCTTAACAGAATTTAATGTGCATGAGCTCAGGCATGCCGTGAATTTATCTTCCAGTTTTGTATTTGTGTGTTAGAAGGAGGAGGAGGAGGAGGAGGATGATGAGATCAATATTTCCTTTCTGATTCTACCATTATTTCTTGTTGCAAAATGTTTTGGTGGGTTTGGAATCTTCTGAATAAGTGATAGGTATATGCTTTTTGTCTCTATATAGGAATTTTTTACGTGAAAATAATTTACTTATCTGTTTTTAGTTTTGTTTCTCCGTAACTTCCTTTATATGGTATTTAATTTTGATGATTTTTTTTGAGCTCTCGACAAATTGTAAAACCCAGCAAGGAATTTAGAAATCTTGACCTGGTATGTTAGTTCTTGCATTTTGGAATATCTTTTCCTGATAAATTGAACCAATTTGCTCATCTAACTTATGGTTGCATTTCTTAATCTGAATCAGGGTAGTAAACCAAGCTGTTCCTTCGGGATTTGAGGATTTCCCGCCATCCCCAACATGCCATTTGTCTCCTAACAATTCTTTGCAAGAGAGAGAGAACAAAAACAACTGTATGGGTTTGAATTCCTGTTGTATCACTAGATGCACTATTAAAGTTCTAACTCCATTTACCCATTTAACATGTTATTGTAAATGCAGCTAATCGCGAAGATAATGGAATGTTTTCTATTGGTCAGTTATTAAGAATCCGACTGGGCCCTTTAAACGGGTGCCTTTGTTGTGTGTTATCTGTTCGCCGTTCTGAGGTCATCGTAAAGCTGGATTCTCTGCACAAAATTCTCACTGGTTTGATGGATAAACCTTATCCTCTTTCGGTGTTGCATGACTCGGATTTAAATATTCTTACGTGTTCTTGTAGTGAAATATAAGCATCTTTCTGAGGTTCGTGGAAGAAATTCTACCATTTCTCAGGGGTAAGTGAATATACTATTACAAGCTTGTGTTTTTATAGCCTGACAGTGTGTTCTGTACAGTTTCTGATTCACGCTGATTTACATACCATTTACATTTTTCTTAGGGATGATTCTGGGTCTGTTAAGCCATTCAATTTTCTTGGATCGCAAGATGGTTCCACGGGTAGGAATTTGTTGCATGGTTTTCAATCACATTTTTGTGGTTAGTACATATGCCAAACATAGAGTAGTGGAAATAGCTAAGAATGTTTTTAATAAAATGCCTTTGAAAAATGTGGTTTCTTGGAATTCCATGATTTCCTGTAGTCTCAAAGATGCAAGTTTCGTATTAAGTGCAAATAGGTTAACTTCATTTATATATCAAACTTTACCGAACCATTAATTCATATTTTTTTATGCATTTACCATATTTACACTAATTTCAGGGGTTTGTGCTCAATTGCATAATTCTTGAATTGTCAATGACAATTTATTATTATTATTTTTTATTTTTTTTAATGACTACATTAGGCTACATTACAATCTTCGTTAAGCCTGTGATTGTTGTCACTCTTATACAAAACTAAATATACAAAAGAAGGCCCAAAATATATAGTTTCTTTTTTCTGTTTTCAGTTTTTAGATTAAAAATTATTTCAACATAACCATTACCAATACATATACTTGACGTCGAGTCGTGCAACGCACGTCCGACACTAGTTAACTAAAAAGACTTCACAATACAATATACGAGATTTTTCTCATCCTTTCAAATTCTTTCAACAGTCGAGTCATTCTTCCCGTATCGAATTAAATTATGCCCATGATGCTTAATTTATTTAAAATGGGTACTCCTACTCCAACTTAATTTACTATTTTGAGTCCATACCAAGAAATTATATAGGCAACTAATTACCATAACAATGACATTTTAGGATACAATAAAAACCTGTTTTATGAAATTGTTTGGTAGTATTGGTTATTACTAAAATTTGGTAATAATGAGAAGGGCCAAGAGTGCTTTGAAAAGCATTTCGTACCAACTTAAATTTCATTGCAAGTAATAATTAGCACTCAAAAAAGAAGAGCGGTAAAGCGCATCTCCAACGCATTAGTGAATTATAAAAGAAAAAAGTGACACATCGGCAAATAAACATCGTCCAGAAGAAAACTTCTTCAATTCAGGTGATGTGGACACAATAAGATATAACGGAAAAAAAATGCCAAGGCTATCTACTTCGAGGATTTGAGAGACAATGTGACTCGAAAAAAATAATTGTGTTATCTTCCTCTCCATCATCTTAAATGGAGACCACTTTTTAATAGAAATTAATGTCACATAAATTAAAATTCTTTTTAGTTTCCTGCCACATCATAGACGACAATTTACAGAACCAGTTAAGAGATTAATTAAAAAAATCCATGAAGCTTTTCCATATCTCAACAAATAATTGCAACGTAACTCTGAAAGTCCAAGAATAGCTAACCAAGAGGGGTGATTTGGTTTTAAAATTTTTTCTAAAATAAATCGAAGTCTTAAATAATATACTAGCAATTATATCAATTCAACAAATGTGCACAAATATAAAGACAATTAAGTACGAGCACTTTGAGCAATATAAAGACAGTAAGTAAAAAGGGAAGAGAATGCAAACGATATTGTTATGGATGTTCGATCCCAAACACGATTTACGTCCCCCGTTACCAAGCTCTTCGGCACGAATAAGGCATTTTCACTATGTTGATTGACTTATGGTACAATCCAACCCTTTACAACGCTTTCGATGACTTACAAACAAGGAGCACGTATCCTTATACAATGTCGAGCTTTATGGGACCTCAACACGATCCACACTATTGAGCTTTACGAGACTTCAATATGACCCACAGGGTGACTTACAACAAGATGCACTAATCCTTATACAATGTTGATCTTTGAGGGATTTCAACACGACCCACACTTTATCAAAGTGATTTTACAATGAAATTCCTCTCTTGATAAATAATATAAACAAATTAAGTACTAAGAGATGCTAACATTTCAATGAATAGTAATAAATGATAACTCAAGTGTTAGAGATGAAAAAATTTGATGAATATGATAACCAAAAATTAGATTCAATCAATCAAAGTGTTTCAATGAGAAGATGAAGAAATAAATACAATATAGGTTCAAAAATCTTCTCCAAAAATATCTCTCTTTTAATGAATAATTGTAATGAATTAAGTATTAAGAGAGAAATGAGAAACTTTGATGAATATGATGATTTTACAAGTTTAGTTCAATCAATCAAAGTTTTAATATGAAAAAGAAGAACAAAAATTTATGCAATGTAAGTGTAAAAATCTTTTTCAAAAATATTTCTCTTCCAAAATCGATATAGATAAATTAAGCACAAAGAGAAATGAAAAACTTTGATATGTAGATTTTCAAAAGTTAATTTGATCAAAAGTTTTTTAAAGATAAATGATTTGATGATAATAAATGAGATGAGAAACCAATATTATTTTACTCAAAAAATCTCACTTGAATGTCTCAAGTGTTAAAATGAATGCCAATGAGTTGGTATTTATAGCAGTCAAATTGTCCAATATTCTACCCAACTGGACGATCATCCGAACGTCCGAAACTCATCCGGACAACCAACTAGCGGTTGCGGTCAGAAAGGGTCAAAAAATTGACCGTTGGGGATGAATGGACGTTCGGATTGACAGAAGTTTTTCTGTCAAATCGAACGTCTGGTTAACCGTTGACCGTTGACTCTTTTTTTTTTGTTGAAAGAGATATGATCTAAGTTCAAGTATCATTTTGAAAAATCAATCTTAATTTTAATCAAAAATATTTTATACAAGTGATATGAAAATAACTCTTTGTGCACAAAATGATTTTTGAGCTATTGTCATTCATTAATAAAGATCAAGGTGTTATACTTTTACTTATGATCTCGAAAGCCTAGTTCTTGATCTTGTTTCGGAGTTTCTTTCATGTTTGGCTCTTAAACTCTTGATCTTGTTCTCTCTTGACGTTTGGCTTTAATGCTTGATTTCGATCTTGACCTTCTTCATGAACTCGATTTGAGAGTCTTGATTATAATCTTTTAAGCTATTGTCTCGAATGATTTGACTTGAAAACTTAATTTTCACTTTGATCTTCATTTCGAGTCCAATTTATAATGTGTTGATTTTGACAATGTTTGATTGATTTTAATATTGAATTATCATCACTCAAAATCAATTGTTAGAAAAAATATTAATCTTGTTTATTATGATCAAAACATTAAAGATGAAATCAACCATATGTCAACAAACTCCACACGATGAAACATTTTGAGAGCATTTAATTAAAGTTTTTGCATTCCTATTGTCTTTGCCTGTGCACAATCCTCTCAATTTCACCAATACAAAATAGATCTTGAGTTGTATTGTTTTGTCATGATAGATAAATCACTTTATTATATTATTCCAGTACAATAGTTGTAACGCCCCAAATTTTATTGATTTAAATATTGAGGTGTTACCAATATCATTACAAACTCATACATAAAGCGGAAAATATTAAATAAACTTTAATAAAACTCAAATTTTCATAACATCAAATTTAATCAATCCAAAACATTAAATCAAAACTTAAAGTGACAAATAGAAACTAAGAAATACTAATATCTAAACATAAAGAAAAATTACTGTTGGTTCACTTGAAAATATTTTATTTGGCAATCTGCGCACCATTCAGCCACCATCCACGTTGAACTGATCTAACCTGAGATATTAAAATTTTGAA